GGAAGCTAACATATTATTCTTGGATCAACCTGTTGGTACTGGCTTCTCTTACTCAACAACTCCTCTTGCTGATAAGCCTAGTGACACGGGAGAAGCAAAACAGATTTATGAATTTCTTCAAAAGGTTCTAATATTGCATCAACATATGTGTTTCTTGCTTCCAAAGTATTATTATTATTATAATACAATTGTTCTTGTTGNNGTTGTAGTGGCTAGTGGAGTATNCAGAGTTTGNCTCAAATCCTCTCTATGTCGGTGGAGATTCATACTCCGGTATGGTTGTTCCAGCCACTGTTCAACAGATCTCAATNGAAAATGAAGACAACAACAAACCTCTACTCAATCTTAAGGTTTCATCAATATCTTCANNCATATGTTCATCATGAGTTTACGTATATTGAGAAATCTTGTTTTGAAGGAATCATTTTGTACCAACAGGGTTATGTTCTTGGNAACCCGATGACAGATTATGAAATTGATCATAACCATAAGATNCCATATGCTCATGGAATGGCGTTGATCTCTGATGAACTCTATGAGGTATATTGAAAGCCTTATCTCATCTCCTTTCTTACANTGTAACTACTTTTTTAATTGAAATAGTTTCTTGAAACTCTTGTTCGCAGTCGCTTAAAAGAAAATGCAAAGGAAATTATGTAGAAATAGATCCTACTAACACACAATGCTTGAAGTTGATGGAATACTACAAAAAGGTAAACACAAAGGTTTAGAATATGTTGTGAATAGCAAAAGACTAATTTGGGACTTTTTGGTTGATGATGATTAACAGTGTGTTTCAAGGATAAANNAATATTTAATTTTGACACCAAAGTGTGAGTTTGTATCGTCGAACCCGTTTTCGGATATTGGAAGAAAATATCTTAAGGAATTTGTTCACTCCAATCTTTCTCTTCCATCTTCTGATTGCTATGTAAGCAAAAAACAATACTCTATTGAAATGATCTTTGTTTTAGCTGTAAAATGGAAAATCATTTAACTAAACCATTAAGATGAAATATGCAGGACAATCGGTATTTGCTAGCTACGGATTGGGCTAATGATGAAGATGTACGCAAAGCGCTTCATGTGGTGAAAGTAAGC